GCCTTCGCGCTCGGTGCTGGGCAAGGGTAGGAGCCGGGCCGGTGGCGGCCCCCCCCCGAGAAGGTTTGTGCGAGGCCAGCTTGGGCGGGAGGTGAGGTGTGGCCAAGCCCGGCCCCTCTGGGCTGCGGGGGAGGCCCGGCCGGGCCGGGCCGGGCCGGGCCGGGCAGGGCAGGGCGGAGGGTCTCTGATGTGCGGGCGGGAGAGTTGGTTCCCATCTGACGGGCTGGGGGGAGGGAACTGTAATGTCTCTTTGTGTATGGTAAATTTTGCCCAAGAAGACCCCTCCGCCCACCGGAGAGGGAGGTGATGAGATTAATATGGTAAAAGAGTTTCCTCATTCCAGGTGAGCGAGGCCTGGGCGCTGGGGCTTGGAAGGTTAAGAAGCGGCAGTGCGAAGCTTCCCTCCCGTGTCCGTTTGCTGTGGATGGAGGTGAGCCTCGGCCTCGGACCCGCGGCAGGAAAGGTCAGCATTGCCAAGAAGGGTAGGACTTAACTCCTGGTTGGAAGACAATTTTTATTTGTTAGAAACATAGCAACTAAGATTGAAAGTAATAGTTAGGCTGTGTCGTCCTCCCACTTCAGCCGAGGCCAGGTTGCTCCCCTCCGTGTAGTTTTGTCTAAAGTATCATTTGTCCAGTAAAAATTTAACAACCTAAGCCATGGGGCTGCTGGCAGTGCTGTCACTAAGCTATTGCCCACTGGATTTCTGAGCAATGTATTGGCAGCACTTCTTGGCAGAACTGTGGCCCATGTAAGAAATATCTTGGTAATAGGAAGTCTAAGGAGTATAAAGGAGAGTTCACATTTTATAAACTAGTTACTGGAAAATTAACATTTATTCTTCTTTTCCTCCTTGACTTTAGCCCACTTCCGTTTTGTGTATGTAACACTGGTGCTTAATTATAGTGACACCCGTTTGCAGTAACCAGACTGTATCACAGTGTCCCTATGGGGTCCTTCTAATGCCAGTGTAATATTAAAGTGTCAGGCAGGCGGTCTGTGTATTATAAATAGGGTACTTCATCCATGATAAGCGATTATTATCTTTCTTTCCCAAGTGTAAAAGACCTATATAACTCAACAAGGTGCGAGTGATTTAGGCCTCCTGAGTAAAAATCCAATGAGTCCTGAAGGGGACCCTATGATGTCGTTGTCTTGTTGCTGAACTTGAGATATACAATTTATTATACTGGAATATGTTTTCTGAAGTCAACATTGGGTAAAATAATATGGGAGGCTGTTAGACCAACAGTACAACACGATTTAGTGTCCCTCTGTGGTGGCCTTCTAAAAACCTTAATCACCCTTGGTAAAAGCAGAAAGCTGCTGTTAAAGTTTACTGGCCATTGGTAAGCAAACAGTATTAGTTACTGCTTCGAATTGTTTTAATAATTTATAAAAAATGCATTTCATACTTTTTTTCCATTCATTTACAATTATATGGGTAATCTTTTTGTACTTAAAAGGCCTAAGTTATGCAAAGTCAGACTTATTTATTTCTATTAATTATATTTAGATACCTCTTAAAAGTAGAATTGTGTGCTTAATTTCACATACTTGAAGGATTAAGGGTTACAATTTTGACCAACTTTACTATTAACCATATGTTTTATTGAGTTATAACTGTAAAAGCAGAAAACAAAGGCCCATTCTGGTATGGGCTGGCACCAGAAGAAAGCATGTAATCAATTTAATAACTATTATATCACTTTTTTAACACTGAATGTTATATGGTATTTACAACATTACACAGTGTCTCTGCTGAAGCTGTGTAAAGTTACCCAGTTTTCCAGCTAAATCAGTCTTGGAAATATGAAAGTCAGCTTTTGAGTGAGGGAGGAAATCTGAACAAATATGCAGTTCAATATAAACATGCTCACATGTAGTTTTCACTGGAGGACAAAGGGGGCTTTTACTCTGCTGTTAACACTGAGAAATAGCACAGAGAATCTGACATACGATGAGTCAGTCGTGATCATGCAGCTACAGAGCTCTCCAATGAGATAAGCGCTGCATCCATTCTCAATAATATTTACTTTGTTATTGTTGTTTGGTGGAAAAGTATTTTAAATAATTCTGTGCCTCTCACACCTGTGGCCATGTTTAAATTGGCATTTTTTTTTTTTTTTCCTAAAAACACTCCACCTTTGTTACTGCTAGTGAACTGTAGCAACGAGGAGAGTGGCACTGGGAGCAAAACAGTGGTAGGTATGGTATGTTCATTAATTTACCATTGTGACAAATCACGCTAGGCATAGACAGTGGTAGTAAAGTCATCAGAGCCAACAAGTGTGCTTCTGTACAAATTCTCCCATTGTTTCTGTTATTAGGAGAATTTAGCTAATGTGGCAAGAGTAGAAATTCTGGTGGAAATATGTTGTAAGGACAAGTTCTAGTGGTTTTATTTCTAAACATGGATAGCAATGGTTTGTATCACAGATAACTTGAAAATTTGTTTTTATGCTTTCAAATAACATGACTATATAATCATTGTGATATCACGTGTCTGAAATTAAAATAAAATACAATAAAATGAACCTTATTACTGCCAATTAAGAGTAAATTGTGAATAAGTAGAGCTCAAGCTATTTTTGATTGTGGATCTCATGGTGCTTACCTACAAGCATAGATAAGTATTCTCATCTCAGATTTAGAGAATGGAAAACCTATGACCTAGATGTTAGGATAATTTGTGCTAGTCTGTGTTTCAGAGGACAAAGCGGAGGCGTTATTAAACAGACAAGACAGCAACAAATTCTAACTGTGATTTTATTCTTCACAGAATGGCCAGCAGTCCTGAGAATAACGCATCCCTCTCCAGTCAGACAGTCACACACTCAGAAAGTTCCCAAGCAAAGAAGTCCCAGCATGCCGAAGAAGCAATCTTTTACATGAACTGCCGAGCAGCTTATCTAACTGTTTTAAAAAGCAGTTTAGAAAATATTAAATCAAAAGAACAACTCAGTTTAGGTAATGATTAGATATTTTTCCCCATAACTATTGTGTGTGATGATTACAGTAGGTAGTTTACAAACAGCAGTCAGCAGTTCAGTAGTGAGAGTATCCCAATGCATAAACTCAGTAACTGTTTTAAGGAATTTACAGTAGTTTTAGATAGGGTTCAGATTTCAAGTGTTGGTGGCTGTATCTTTGAAGACATTTTCATCATTTACCTGTTATAAAATATGTCACATAGTGATTTTTCAAAGCTTATAGAAACTACCATTCCTCAAAGTTTTTAATTTTCCTCAAATCCTTAATCTTTGTTGCTAGGTGGTGGATGACTCGTGGAAGTGGGAATAGTATACAGAGCTTTTCATCTGTAAATCACCAGCAGGAACGGGCAGAAGTCAATACTAGCTGACAGCTTACAGGGGACCTAAGTGAGTTGTTTAACACCACCAAATTTGATGGTAGCATTGTTGCTTACTTGAGGTGGGCCTAGGTACTGCTTTTTGATTGTGACATTTCTGCAATAAATTTTTCCCTATCCCTTTTTTGCATACGTGAGGAAATATTTCTCACTCATGGCTGCGTTGCCTGTGCCTAAAATACGTGAGGTCTCCACATGGAAACCACCACTATAAAAGCTGAGCGTACTTCTCTGTTGCATTACACCAGTAAATGAAATTCTACCCATTAGCAAGCACATTCTTTCAGCATGTGACTTAGTGTTGTCCAGGCTTTCTCAGCTGTAATAAAAGTGCCTTTATAATATCCTAATGATAGTTTTGGATAATCTGGATTTTAAGATAGGAGTGGTGTGAACAAATGTCATCTCTTTTATATATGCTTTGGCTTTCATCTCTATCCATATGCCACTTTGCTACACAGCAAGTGTTTGGGCATTTTGGTTTCAAGGTCAACTCAGAAAGGGCAATTAGTTGCTCAGGCTGTCAGTCTTTTCAGAGATACTTAAGAACTTCTCTTAAAATTTGTAAGCATTGAGAGTTATTGTAGACTTATGTTGTATCTTAAGTAAATTCTGGCATTTATCAAATGAGTGGTGCCAGTGTTTGAGCATCTCTTGCTACACATGTTTGGCTAATATTCTAAACTACGAAATATTCACTTAGAGATTGGCCCTGCGAAATTTTATTTGTAGGAGTTTTACTTACTCACAGATAGTAGCTTCATTTCCTGCGGTGTAATATTACTTAAGGTATTTAGCAGAATCGCTCTGAAAAGAAGTAGAAATAAAAGGTGCAGTCTAATTGAACTTTCAAAATACAAACTTGGGAGGCATGTAGGGTATGGCAAGTGCTGATCTCCCAGGATATATAAAAATACAGAATTGTCGAATATTTGAAGGATACTCTGTTAAATGTAAGTGAATACTGTGCTATATTGACATTCCAGGGAACTCGGCTATCCATGTAAACAAATACACAGAGTAACTGCCCTTCCTTGGCTGACCTTGACGTTGAAATCCTTAAACAATTGCTATGTGCCCAAGCGTTGCATGGATAAGGATATAAGCTTTGCTGTATTCTTTTGACTCCACTTGTAGAGGTGACAGGGCAGAAATCTTTATTTAGTCCTTGGCATTCAATCAGAGATTAGCAACAAAGGTGTCTGATTTTGTTTGTTTGTTTTTATGGTGACACAGTTGCCTACTGAGAATTGTAACGATGCCACCACCTCATTTCACAGATGCTACTGAACTGCTGTCAGCCAGTATAGACTTGGTCAGCTGGCTAAAAATCAAACTGCCAGCCTAGGTAAAGATGAAGGATCTTTTGCGTTTCCCTAAAAAACTTGATTGTATGGGAGGATATAAAAGCATGTCTCCGGTTTCAGATAGACTGCATTAGAATTTAATTTCATTTTAACATAATGCCTTCTTCACACTGGAAACTGATGAAAGGATGTTTTCAGTAAAGGCTTTTAAGAGGCTAACTAGATCTGGCAAATTTTGAAGAATGCCAGGTGTAGGTGGGACTAGTTGCTGTTGGCCTTAGCAATGTATGTCTGTTGGTATCATATTTCCTTTACATTTGAAATTCATGCTGCATAATTTGAATTGATAAGTTCAAATGTATAGAGGTGACATAAAAGATTCTTCAACATAAATCCTACACTAGATCTCAGTTCTTTGCGAAGTAAATGGAGGCTTATGTGGATCTCAGTAGAAATCTGATCTAATAATGTGCAAGCTTACAAATAATAGGTCCTTGATATTAAGGCAGGGGATACAGACACTGGGCTGAATTTTGCACTTGTCACTTGAGGAAACTGTCTTTGAATTCATGGATATTTTGCTTAATTAATGATTTGAGCCTGTTAACTTTATTTAAGGGAGACATCCCATTGAGTTTATTAGAACAGTGCACATGAGTAAGTGGAAGCTGTAAGCAAAATATTTCCTGTGATACTGTTGTGTTACAAAAAGTCACAGACTGCTCTCTGGTTTCTTCCTTTTTCTGTAGAAGAAAGCGGGTGTGATTCTTAGCAGCGCGGCATATGTCATCTCTGTGCTGGATCATAGTTCGTGAGGGATGATCTAGGATGCTAGGCACTGCCTGTTTCATGACTCCTTTCAAAAGAATATGCAAATGAGCTCATCTGCCCCTGGGGCTGCTTGAACCTCTCTGGTACAAACCACAGAATTCAAGGCCGGGGAAGGTCACAGTCAGTCTGTATCAGTAGAGTACAGGATTGAGACTATAAGCAAAACTGTCCTTCAGACCTGCTTTTCCCTTGGATTGATTGGGCTTAAAAAAAGGTCTGAACATGGAAAGTGAGTAAAGGATGTTTTGAGAAAACTCCTTTACTGACAGCTGGAATATATAGTTAATATTGTGTTTTATTGTTCAGTACTTCAACAGGCTGGAAGAAATCCATCTCAGAAGACAGTTAATAAATATTGGACTTCACAAACAACTACACTGAATTTTGATGATTTTTGTACTATTTTAAAAAAAGAAAAACCAGCTACAAAACCTGAACTGCTCGAAGCATTTGGAAAAATAGACAGAGATAACACTGGATATATTTCACATGATGAACTTTATAAAATTCTTACAACGGTAAGTATCAGTAGAAACTTATCCATCTTTAACCCTTAATAGAGATTTTGGAAGTTAGATGGTAAAACTATACAGAATGTGTAAACACATATTCCTGATCAAAAGAATCAATAACTGATTCTTTTTTCTTTTTTTTCTTTTTCTTTTTTTTTTCTCAATTTTATGTCTGTTTTTCTTTGGTTATCTGCTCTTTCTTCCATTTTTTCCCCTTACAGTCTTGCAGTTGATAACCTGTCTGTCCCTTTCAGCAATTGTGCCTTGAAGGTGGAAGCTGGCAGAAAAAATATTTTTTGTATTTTCACAGAATGCTTTGTTGAAACCCTGTCTATACTGCAGTGGAGCAACAGAAAGGGAAGCACACGTCTCTCCCTTGGTTCAGTTAGCGCAAATCCCGCTGTTCTCTACAGATCCCCTCTGCAGCCCTTTGAGGTTATGAACTTTTACCGAGAGAATGACATACCTTTGCTGTTCTCCCCTCACAAGTTGTTGTCTATGTATGTTCAGATACAAGGCTAAAAAATAATATTTTTATGTTATACATAAAATATTAAGGTCAGTGCTTTAGTTTTATCACAGCTATGATGTTCTGTCATGCCAATGACTTCACTGGATCATATAGTTAGTTCATTGGGGTCTTAAAGTAAACTATGCTAGGATAAGTCAATACTTTGGTTAGAGATTATGCATTGTCAACCCAAAGCATGCAAATATCATAAGGCTTACCTGTACATGTGATTAATATGGCTTAAAATAATGGCATTAAAAAATATTCGGAACTTCTTATTTAGCTGCTGAACTGCCACCGTATTTTTAGGTTTCATTGTATAATCTGAAAAGATAAAAAAGAATTTTTTTAAAATAGCAGCTGAGATTTTTATGATGAGATTGTAGGAGATGGAATTTTAAAGAAAACATTAGCAAGAGTATGTTAGAATGATGAGTGTTGACAAGATTAAAATCTAGGTCCTCTGAGGATCTGCAACGCAAGCAAACAAAACCCCTGAAACAGAACAGTCTTTCAAGTTGGTGCAGAGCTGATGCTTTGACTTTAAACTACATAGATGTACATCACAGATGATTACAATGATTTTCTTTCTCTGTTCTGTCAGGTTTTTTGCTCTGTACAGCCAAAAAGACCCCCTTCATTGTAAAAGCCAATCATCTTGAACAGGACAAACACCAGGGAGCCGTAACAATTAAAAATGGACTACTAGCAGAATTCTAGTAGAGTTCTCAAAAGTGAGAATAAAACAATTTTAAGGAAATGTAGAGGAGAGCAAACTGGGTCAGGAGGAACAAACAATTTACATACATTTGTTGTGGTTGACCCAATAAAACAAAATTATTTGTTTACTTCAAACACTGTGGCAGAACCTTCAGTCCTCATTCTGCATGAATGTCTGGGGACAGACTTTTTAGCAGGGACAGTAGCGATAAGACAAGGGGTAATGGTTTTAAACTAAAAGAGGGTAGATTCAGACTGGATATAAGGAAGACATTTTTTTACAATGAGGGTAGTGAAACACTGGAACAGGTTGCCCAGAGAGGTGGTCTGTGTTGTAGATGGCCCTTCCAGTGGCAGGGGGGATGGACTAGATGGCCTTTAAAGGTCCCTTCCATCCCAAAGCATTCTATGATTCTATGAACAAAAAGATATAGTTGCAATGGTAAAGAAATGTATAATGAAAGATAGAAGTAACAAATATTGAATCCTACTGTAGTTATGCCATGAAGAGCTATAAACTCTGTATTGTAACATAAAGTCAGGGCATTGCTTCATATAGACCAAGACTGAAGAATTTACTAGGTGTGCTTGCAGTAGCAACTGGTGCTGTTCTAAGAGGGGAGGATCAGGATTTGGTTCATTGCAATCCACTATGGCTCCGGGACCATATGTCCACATCACATGTTTACCAATAATGAAGTTCACATTAGTTTTCAGTCCCAAGTTTACCCTATGCATCTGTAGCTGAAAAGTGGTGTGAAGTAGATTTCTGTACAGCAATCGTATGTTGCTCTGTCATTGCGAACAGCCCTGTGAAACTGTGTAGAGGAAATCGCTGGGGGACCTTGTGGAAGACATGCTTTCTTCCTGAGAGATGTACCTTGTGTCCACATTGCAAGTGGGGCACTCGAGATGGTATCCTGACATGCAAGTTCAGACGTGGTTCTAAAAGGAGAGAAACTGCTTTGGCTTCACACTAATGATTCCAAGTAGAGATAGGTGCAAGGCAAATTCATACCTGGAATAACCCTTCTAGTGAACTAAATTACAGGTGTAGACTGGTATAATAGCATAGCTCAAATAAATAACTTCATAACGGTTAGTTTCACTTTGCTCTTTGTTGTTAGCATGCTACAATATAAGTAAGAATGACCGAGAGCTGGGATTCCCCAGTTTATGGAAGATTTTCTTCCATAATTGATGTGTCATTCATGGTAGGTTTCCAGAGGACATTACAAAATTGCATAAACTGATGCAATTCATCTGTTCAGTATTTAGTAGCATTGTAAGGACATAATTTGTTATGACGTTGACCTCTATTTTGTTGATTCAAATCGAAATCCATTTAAATCTATTGCGAGATAAGATTCCTGGAAAGGATATTAAAAGACTCTGTCTTTGTGTTTTTAGTAAATGTGCACTGTAGGTGAACAGCATTCTTGATTAGGAACCTAAACTGAGTTGTTTTTTTATTGCAGAGAGGCGAAAAAATGACTCGGGATGAAGTGAGTACCATTGCTAAACAAGTTGATTTTAACTGCAGTGGCAAACTTGACTACAACAAGGTATGGCAAACAGAGCGATATTATTTGTTCTTGTGTTACTGGCTTGACGTTATTGACAGGATTGGCATTATCAAACACAATACATACCACCTCCACATGTTGGTCTATTGATGACCTTACCCTAGGCCCCGCCAGCTGCCTACTGGAACGTGGGCTGGTATATATTTCTGTTTCACTCACTTTATCTGGTTATTATCCTTGAAAAGGTCACTTGCTGCAAGTGAACTTAATGTATTAGGCAGAGCCTAGTAGTAAACATGAAGCCTAACAGTATGGGTGAAGGTAAGAGTTAAAGGAATGGCAGAATAAAGATGACAATTAACAGCAAACTTAGCTAATCAGTGAGAGTTGCTATGTCTGTGACATTTCCTGATTTCTTGTGTGGGGGACATTATTGCATATGTCGAACATCTCATTTTCAAGATGCAACATCTTATCAGTTTTTTTTGACATCATCTGTAAGCAATGACTAAGTTTTGAACTGAATATGCAATCCACAAAGATTTGTACATAAATATAGTTTCATAGGAGAAAAACAACCCCCTATTAAGAATCATATGTTAAAAAAAAAAATCAGTATTCAAGTATCTAGAAAGAATATATATCACCTCTTGGGTTGAAAGCCGCACTTAAATTTTTATTCAATATTTGGACCTCCTTGTTGAATCATGGGTCCATTTTACTGTGTCACTTAAGTGGTCGCTCTGATTCATGAAAATGAAAATTAATATTGTGCTTTAAGAGAAAATGCATTACATCTATTGACCTGTCCTTTCCTTACTAATGTTACATTTTAATCCTTAAAACTGTGAGAAAGAATGTTTCACTTAGCAGATTACTTTTCTTTATATAAAGTTTTGTGACTTATACATGGCAACCAGTGAGCAGTGCTGCAAGACTGCACGGGAGAAACTGGAAGTTGATAGTCGATTGAGGCAACAGCAGTTTGGAAGTCAAGCTGAAACTTCCTCTGAAGGGATCGCAGTGTCAAAACCATCACCAAGACTCTCAAGGAAAACTGATCACAAACTAGCATCAACAAAAGGTATTTATATTTCATATTGGGAGTTTTCATTCTGTTGGAGATCATGCTCTGGGTCAATGAACAGTTGAGTATTTCTTCAATTTTTCTCAGGTTAGTGAGGATGTTATTGACTCATTTCTACTGTGGCAATCGCATTCATGTCTCAGGAGCTTATCTGACTCCCGTGTTCAAACGGACTTTTGCTGCATCTATGATCTGAAGCTCTGTCGTGGTTTAACCCCAGCCAGCAACTAAGCCCCACCCTGCCGCTCACTCACTCCCCCACACAGTGGGATGGTTTTGTCCCTGTAGTGTTTGAACCCCAGCCAGCAACTAAGCACCACACAGCCGCTCGCTCACGCCCCCCCGGTGGGATGGGGGAGAGAATCAGAAGAGTAAAAGTGAGAAGACTCGTGGGTTGAGATAAGGACAGTTTAATAGGTAAAGCAAAAGCCGCACATGCAAGCAAAGCAAAACAAGGAATTCATTCACTACTTCCCATCAGCAGGCAGGTGTTCAGCCATCTCCAGGAAAGCAGGGCTCCGTCACACATAACGGTTACTTGGGAAGACAAAATGCCATAACTCCGAACTTCCCCCCTTCCTTCTTCTTCCCCCAGCTTTATATGCTGAGCATGAGGTCATATGGTCTGGAATACCCCTTTGGTCAGTTGGGGTCAGCTGTCCCAGCTGTGTCCCCTTCCAACTTCTTGTGCACCCCCAGCCTACTCGCTGGTGGAGTGGGGTGAGAAGCAGAAAAGGCCTTGACTCTGCGTAAGCACTGCTCAGCCATAACTAAAACATCCCTGTATTATCAACACTTCCCAGCACAAATCCAAAACATAGCCTCATACTAGCTTCTATGAAGAAAATTAACTCTATCTAAGCCAAAACCAGCAGAAGCTCTCAAAGTCTTAAGGGTGAATTTCATTGACTCTCATGTGACACAGTCCGGAGAGAAGAGAGAAAGTGAATGATCAGATGTTGCAGCATAGGCAAGATATTTATTTCCTTCCCAGATCAGAGATGAAACCTTAAACATTTATCAATAAGCAGTCTGTTTGTTTCAATTATCGAGGCCACTTTTCAAGCACAATCAATATGAGAGTTTAATGTTCTTCCTGAAGTTATGAAGATACTTAAAAACCTTCCCAAACTGGAAAAAGACCACAGTCTAACAGACTGCAAAGGTACCATATATGAAATATTTGCATTTGTATGTAGTGTGCACTGTTTAAGATGCTTCGATTCTAGGCAATAGTGAAGAGGTACAAAGATGACAGAACAGTGATGAAGACTGAGTTTATGTAGCTAAATCAACAATTGTACCAGCAGAGTTGCCCCAGCATAAGGAACTAGAAAGTAAAGGCTTGGAAGTAATTGCATTGGGCAGCTGTGCATAAGTGATGTGCTATCTGGCAGGGAAACTGCATTGTCCTGGAAAGAAATAACCTTAAATTAGAAGTAGGTCAAACCTATCCACTTAAGGACAGATTTACCTTGATTCCAAGGTAAATGGAATCATGTAGTAACAATTCCTTGTCCTTCAGGCAGATTTGGATTCCAAGGTTCTGCCATTCATATGCCCATTCACCCGGGATGTACAGTCAGGGAAGTAAAGGTGTTTGGCTAATGAATTATTAAATGTTATATAATTATAAGGGAAGTCAGCTTATCTGATTGAAGCTCGTCATCCATTTTGTGTGTGTGCTATAAATGTAAGGCTTTATGATAAATAGCACTAGGAGTGGGCTGAAATAATGTACTTGTAACTAAATATCTATGTTTATAGGTGATAGCAGAACTCCTTCGAGACCCTCATCAGCTCAAAGTTGCAAAGCGTCCATTTCTACCACTATCAGCATGGGTGCCAGTACCAACAGAAACACAAAGCTAATTGAGCCAGACACAAAGGTATCATGTAAGCTAGTCCTATTGAAATTATGCTGTTTTCCTCTAGGCACATATGTTATTGCATTTTAAATAAGAAACCGTTTTTCTCTGATTTTTAGCTTATGTTTTATTAATAGTTTGTCAAGGGCGGCTATAAACCAGTGAGACATTTCTTGATACATATTATTATTAACATTTTTATATACTGTTGGTTTTGCTGACGTCTGTTTATTGAAAATAATTTTTCAGGTGTGAAGGTTTAATAGAACAAAGTATGTTTTTTTATAAATGAAACCACTGTTGGATAAAACGTTTAATGACTCTTTGAGAAATTTAAAATTTAATAATTTATTAGGTTGGTGAGAACTTTAAATGCTTTAGTAGTCTGAAAGATTGTGTATCATAAACCTTTATATGAAAGGTAATTGGAAATAAATAACAGGTCTGTGAGCATATTCAGTTTGTTGGGCATTAATTTGTAAATATATGCCGTAGCCTGAAAATATTGATTTTTAGTTAGACTAATATGTTCTATCATCATTTTCTTTTAAATAAATCACTCATTCAATATAAATTCCTGTGGGAGAAAGACAACAAAGTCACTTTGCTAAGTCAATATTTGTAGAGTGTTAATATTGATCTTTTTCCTTTGTTTTCCCTTTCTTGACTGAACCTTTACTAGTTTTCTTTCAACAGAAAATAATAGCTGTAGAAATATAAAACATTAACTGGAAACTGCTAGGATACATTAAAAATGTGCACCTTGAGACTCCTGTATGAAAGGGAAAAAATGGTTATGACCACATAGTATAACTGCTGCTAGAAAACTGAACTGATTGTTCTCATGAGTTACATTTTTGTTTCAAATAACAACTCTGTATTTGTTATTGAACTCTGAAGTCCTTTATATCTTTGCCATTGCTATACAGTGACATTTGTTCTATATTAAAATTTAAAAACATCATCTCAAAGGAATTTTTTGCAGTCTGTTTAGGTATCTGGACCTCCATGCAATTTAACCTGCAATTTCACCTTGTTCAAACATGATATGTAGTATATAAAACCATCACACAGTTTCCCAATATTGGATTCTTTTCTTTTTACAAGCTAGTAAGAACTGACTGAAAAAAAGCAGCTGTAGATATCGATTACTATTGATTAGCATCATACAAAACCTGAAATCAATCAATAAACATGAAAAGGTGTAAGCAGAACTACTAATTTTTTTAACCTTAACTATTAAGGGCACAATGCAAACTCTGTCAAAATCAATGAATAAATACACAGTGATTCATTCAGGCTGCAGATCAGAATCTAGCACCCTACAATTTTTCTTATTTATCTTCTATTCAGAATTTTTTTTTTCTGCAGTTCACCTGTCTTTTTGGGACAGTACGAAAATATTGCCAAAATGAAGTTGAACCAATGTCAACTTTAAATTTCTGACAGAAGAAAACTGTGGAAGTCAAAACGTGGTGAACATCTAAATTTAAAAACCTGTAGAAAACACAAAATGTATTCATAGTACATTCCTCCATGTGTCTTTTTCTTTTTGTCAGTGGAGTTTTGTGACATGTTCAAAGCCATGTAAATAACTTTTGGGGAAAAAAACCAGACAGTTACAGAAGTGCTACAGATGTGCATGAACAACATGCTGACCTGTTGGGCTTCAACCGTGGTTGAATTACAATTAATTAAAGCATGGCTAACGGAGATCTTAAATTTCTGCAAAATATTCTTCTTGTCAGTTTTAGTCAAGATTGAAAGACATTAACAAAAAAAGAAACCAGTGTATCATGTTCTAGAGTTTTCTCTCTGTGTTGAGTAGTTAAATTATCCCTGCTAAGGATTCTCACCTTTGCATTCTGCTCTGCTGAAGTCAATGGAAGAGCTGTACACACAGTGGATAGCAAAATACGTGAGAAAAGTCTTTTTCCTGAAAGAAACAGTTATATGCTCCCACTCGTATAGGTGAAGTAGCCTCATGCAATTGAACTAGCAAGACTTCTTCTGTGCATGTGGAACAGGTTTGTACAAGACAAAGTGTTGAACTGAAGTTCTTTGCTTTAATCATAGGAACAATTCCTCTCACAAACATTGTGTTTTATTTTGAATTATGCATAAGTGTGTGGACTATTCAATAACAACTTACATTGGTATAGCAATAGAATGCATTATTTGGGCAGTGACCAGCACTGGCAGCAACAGGTAGTCCCTAACATTTCTTTATGATTAACATTTTTAATACAAACATTTCCCACTATGTTAGCTATTACTCGACAACTTTTGTTATGCACTGAAGTGACATACTAAAATCAAAACAGAAAAATCATCTTTTAGCTTCCCAAGTTTACATACCTGTTGGTAATTTGACATGGATAATTTAGAGAATATAGCACCACCTTACGCCCTCTGCAAGAATAACAGTTTAGTATTTGATTCCTAAAGCACTGTCGAACTTTTGCTTGCTGTTGCTCACATCTTAACCTGCACGTTTTATTTTGAGATATTTTCCCTGCTTACTTGGATTATTTGGTGTCCCTGTTGTAACAATGTCCATCTGAATGCGAAACTGCAAAAAAGGTAGTCTTTCATCTGAAATAACAGCTAGAAAAATGGAAGGTAAACAAACAGGACAAAGCTACTCTCCATGGACTATCTGTGAGATCATGGTTTGAAGACCACTGCCATAGTGAGAAAGGGGGAATAGAACGTGGTTGTTAGAGTAATTTTTGCACGTGAAAATTGTCACAGTATCTTTTTTAATAGTTACAGCACATTTGGACTGCTGTTTAAAATTATATTATGCTCTCCTATGTCTCAAAGAACAGCCATTTTGCTTCATTAGCATACCTTTTGACTTAGACCTTTGTGAAATGTCATTAATTTTTCTAACAGTTTTGTAAGGTATTACGCTTAGAGACTAAATGAGCTAACCACCAGTTATCTCAGCTGTGTCAAGTTTTAAGGAAAAATCTCAATTTGCTACATACGGACTTCAGACGAAGTTAGGAGTCATGCAAGTATTGGAATAAACAGTTTATTGAGAGTGGAATAGTACTAGAATGATTTAACAGACTGAACTATGTATGTGAATTCTAGCACTGACTTATGCTGACTCTAATGTTAATATCAACTCCCATTATCCACTTGTTTGACTGAGAGAACCCTATCTTTTGCTTAACCTTTAACCCTCACCATTAAGCTCCAAGAACTTTCTGTCTCTGTTCTCTTCTTTGCTAATTATCCTTTGTGATTTGACCCCTTTTGCATATCCCGTCACTAGAAATCTAGTTTCATGGATAAAGATCGGTATAAAATTATTAGCTGACCTTGTTAATTAGGTCTATACCGCTACATAAAAGGTGGCCAGGGACTGATCTCTGACTCTGGACCAAGTAGCATAGGTAGCTGCACTTCCACAAGGCTTAGGCCTAGCACCCTCTCAAGCAGACTGTGTCCAGTTTAAATGACACTTGGCTTGCTTTTTTTCCTAGCACCCATGTGGTAGTGTTGTGGGTTTAAGAAATCATATTTTCCAGTGCCATTCATAATCTTATATCTCTGCATCCCAGCCAAGAATACATGTTACAAGCTGTGGGGTAGGTCGTGGCATGGAGTGTGCAAGGCTGTAAAACCTGATGGGATGATGTTGACTGTGTAGGTGACAGAAAGCCAAATTGAGTGCAGTTACATCCGTATTACTTTTTGAAAGTGGTGCCTGAAGTGAAAAATCCTTTGAACTGTGTACGCATTTTCTTGAAGAGTGTAAGTTGTAGTCATCTTAAACAGAGCCAGGGAATGAGCTAAGAACTAAACAGTATGGATGATAGGGTGTTGAATGCCTCACTTTGCGTCTTGCTGTCTGTTATTTCGCAGTGTAGATGTAGATGGTGTGATGCGATCATTGTTCCTCTAACAGCATGCTGTTTCCTCTGCATCTCTGATGGCAGAGAAGATAGGTTTCACGAAGATCCCAGATCCAACATGTTATCTTAACTGGAAAAGATTAGGGGAGGGGAGGGACCTGGATATTAGTTTCCATCAGGGATTGGGTGTCCCACTTCCTTGTAGACAGCTTAATTGATCTTTGTCTTTTCGATAGCCCGTGCTCTGAGGAAGTATGTGTCTTAGAACTTCCTTAGCAAAGTCTTAATATTCTTTAAAAATCTCAAACCTCCGAAGAACAGTGGAAAGCGAGTTGCAAAGTATTTGTACTTAAAAGTACTTCAAGGACTGAAGGCTTTTAAATCCATGAATTCCTGAGTAATTTATATTCTTAAGAAATGTAGAGTTCTGAATGGAGAAATCTAAACGCAGGATCAGTGCTACATGTATTACCAAGTGTATTACTTGGCATCCTGGGTGTGTGTACACTAGCAAAGTCCAGTTCTTGCCTGACACCTTTAGGTCATTGACTGTAAGGTACTATCAACTGAGTGTGAATGCATTGTAATGAGAACTGATTCTTTAAGAGGAGAAATGAAATGTAGCACTCTGATGAACACTGACCTTAGATGGAGCTAGTAGTCAGCCTCCTTACTGGGAGTTGCATGCAGACCTCTTTTTTTTTTTTTTTTTTTTTTTTACAAGCTCTCTTCTCAAATCTGTGTTAGCTTACCTGTTACATTGAACACTAAGCATAGGTACAGCCACCTGGACAGAGCTCTCTGCTGAGATTACGCTGAAAGATTCCTTCTGCTAGGCTCTGCTCAAAAACATTATCTTCCATTGCTAGGAAAGTGACTAGAAATGATGGACTTAATCCAGACCAGGGAAGGCAAATCAAGAATGTCTTCTGTTTCTCAAGGCATGCAATATGTCTATAAGGACTTTTATTTTTATTTTGCTAAAGAAATATCATTCAAATGATATTTGAAATTGAAAATTGGGACTTGCTGTTTAAAAAAAAAGAATTGAAGCATGTAGCTGTTTTAGCATCTCGGCAAAATCATGGCTTCTCTAGAAACCATATTATTCACAAATACAGCAGTTTTCAGTTTATGTCTTTCCAATAGCTTTGACAGAAATCAAGAAGAACCACTTAATTTGACCAGTACTTATGTTTGTGATTTGTCTGAGCGAATAACTCCTCATTGTTCAGCTAATCAATTATGTTCTTTGCTTGATTGGCCTGATGGAACTAATGTAGCAAAATTCCAGTGTTTCAGTGGTAAATCACACAGTTCAGAGAATTTAATGAGTTTGAATTTGATTCTTCATGGCAATTCAAATTTCATTTCAACTATTTGAGCATTGGGGTAATCTGTATGGTTTTCAAGCATTTTCACAAGTGAAACAATGTTACTAACTGCTCTGCAAAAACTGACTACAAAAAGGACTATTTGAGAAGAATAATTTAAAAAAAGGAGTAGAAGATCAGTGCTGTGTCTCGTGGTGTATTTTATGCAGGATTTAATAAATCATCGAATTACTGTATTTCAGAGAAGGTGCTTTTATCTTGATTAAAGATCAAGGCAACATCTAATACTTGCTTGGTTTCCAGGAATGGCAGTGTGCACAATCCAAAGGATGTTTCTACTTAGAAGAAGATGGTGAAATCATTAGTCACAAGTACAAGTTGCACTTACCTCAAAGGTCTACAGTATGTATTACCATCAAGCCTTTAAATGTTCGTCAGGTAGAAGGTAAGTGTGTTTGTATTTCTTTGGAGAATTTTCCTCTATAAAAAATATTTTCTCTTCTGCTGATACATCTCTCCGTTTCTCACTTGCAATACTTTGCAATATTGCGATATAGCAATACTTTTCTCTGTTGACAGAGTCCTATTAAAAATATAACTTAACTTGTCACACTATATTTTCTGCTTAGTCATTTTGTGCTCACTGCTTGGGCAGTGAAAATCAGCTAAGTCCATTATTTTTCTCCCTTTACTCAGTCAGCCTCTTAGATTATTTTTGGCCATAGATTTGTGAAGTCTTATTACAAAATTCAAGTGTTAGCACTGTTAGCAGTATCTCTCTTTAAGGTGTTAATGCACTTTGTGGGAAACAACAATACAAAACTTAGTGAATATTCTCCACTTCAAATACTTTTGTAAATACTTAAAATAGGTTATGGCTTCTTATGGCAGTGCGGTATCTTGATGTTTTAATTATTAATTTTGTCCGAGGGATTTAGTGCTTGGTTTGCCTATTTTAATTTTTATCTTAAAAGAGTGAAGCCCAGCATTAGAGCCACCTGAGATTAGTCAGCCTTTGTGCTCCTTTTTTCCAAATGCTGTTGGCTTTGTTCTCTCCAGTGATTTACCAAGGAGCTTTATCTAGTTGCTACATTGGAATTATTTTTTCCCCAAGTAGATTATTTCCTCTTTAATCCTGTGAACAGGAGCCGTTAGATCCCAAAGGTGTTTTAGAGTCATCTGGACTGGCTGTTGTGCTGCAGGTTGGTAATTGATTCTGATTGAGGTTGGTAGTAAAAACTTCACTGCAAATAATTGACAGAAAGTAGCCATTTTGCAGTTACTACCTGGCTGAAATGGGAAGCTGATCAACAGACTTCTAATGGTGAGGAAACGTGGTCTGATGCTAACAGATTTGAGTAACAGAATGTCTCAAGTGTTCTGCTCATAACTTTTCTTTTTTCATGTGGCACCCTCTTAAACTGTGCCTTAGAATAGTTCTGCTGCAGGATTGTCCAGACATTCTGTGAACGCAGAAGAGTACTTACTTGTCTTTTGTAAAAAAACTTCTACTTTTGCACAACATTATTGTCCTGTATATAGAAATATCTTTGTGCTTTGTTGTGAAGAGGAAGGCATAATACTAGTATGTAAGGAAAGGATTGATGTTAGCAGAGCAATTAACTTTTAATGAGGAATCAGAAATATCTTCAAGTTTTTAACAAAGTTGTGTGGTGTGTAGCCATTCTTTAGTATTCTTGACTCCTAACTGTAGAAAAGCTAAGCCCCTGCATTCATTGTTTTGCTGTGGTATGATTAACTTGAAGACCACTAAATAGCTCATTGATTGATTGCCCTCAGGAACTGAGTAGTTACAAGAAATCAAAGAGGTTCAAATGGCATCCATTTAACATATGTAAGACCAGGCCTCCATTCCAATCCAACCTAAGACAAACAAAGAACAACTAGTGATCCCATGCAGAGGGAATCTTGCTATTTAAATCTTAAAAATAATTGAAACGTATACTTCTGAGATGTACATCTTCTGGCATCCCTAGCTTTTGCATATAATCTGTGTTTCCAGTCAACGTGAGTTTAACAATATTTTGCAGAACTTCAGAGGAGAATATGATATAATTTTGCTAACATCATTAATTGCAAATATTTAGGAGCCTTGATATAAAGAAAAGCAATAAATAATAATGTTCTACTAGTGGTAGAAAACAATGAAAATAGCTTCCTTAACTATCAAAGGTTTTAATATTAGAACTATTAATAGTAATCATTATCTGTAAGACAATCACAAGATTTGGAACAATTTATCTGATCGACCTAAATAGGAAGGAAATCCCGATAACATATAATGGATTCTTTTTTCCATCTTACATTAACAGGGATCAATATTATAAATACCATGGAAATATCTACTTCGGGTTCAAAGAAAAACAATTTTGTGCCATTATTAAGCATTTGTGTTGGGAATGTTTTTCTTTTTAGGAAAATCTTGTCATTGCTTGTCAGTGGATACAGCTTTGTATATTCTGAAGGAAAATGAAACCCAAGAAAATCTACAGCTTGTGAGCTTTACTGAACAACAAAACAAAGAGGTTAGATATTTTTGTTGTATTCCTATTTTAATTGTTACATTTTTAGTGTGTTAATGCTGCATGGGTGAGTTCCCAGTGTTTGGAAGGAATTCAAACTGTACCTAATCAGACTAAAGGAGAGAAGAAACACTTGTTCTGTGCATGTGCCCTTTCAAAACTGGCAGAACCTACACAAGGTAAGATGTAATACTGTCTTAGTTATGCCCTTTGGATGGGCTGAATTGCAAGCCACTTGTATAGAAGTTTAATGAAATTCCTGTGAGGACCATATTATCATGTGGTCTGTTGGCAAGTATTGCTGAGTTGCTGATTATCTGTATAGATACTCTGTGGAAACTCACTTATATTCCTGCACCTTTAAAAACAAAAGTTCAACGGTAAAATTTGGTAAAATTTCCTTTAATTTTCTTTCTCCTTGCCATATATATGATTTTGAACTTCATAGTGCACAGGATATTCTTATCCTATGGCAGAAATAAGGGAGGAGAAATGGTAGCATTAAGTTACTTCCCCCTTCCAAGCCACAAGGAACTTGGCTTGCTTCTTAAACCCAAGTCACTTGTGACTTTTTACATAGGAAGTTTTTGTTGCTAGTGTGAACAAAGCTGATATATCAGGGAGGAAATTAAAAACTCGGTGGGTTTTGTCAGCCTGCTTCTGGCTGGTTTTGTTTTAAAGTTTAACAATTAAAGAGTGTTACAAATCTGAAAAATAATAGGACTGCTGTTAGACATTTCCAGTAATGATGGTTCTCCCCTCCTCTCTGGTCCTGTGTGTTTTTATAACTTCTATTATAACTAAGAGATTCACTAGTTTTTGTGTCTTTAAAATGGCATCTCACTGTAGACGTGTTTTCTTTAAGGAAAGAAGCTAGCATTACCAGTGTTTTCAAGTAATTAATCACTTTTGTATGAATGTTACTAATAATAAATAAAGGTATAATTTGAGAAGTAACTTACAAACTTGTCTCTCTTTCTTTAAGAGTAGGTGTCTGGATGGAAGGGGGAGCTTGGATCAGGCATTTACTGGTTGCTCCCATTCACAACAGGCTGTAGGTTGAAGAAGGTAAAAACACAAATTACTGGAGAAGCAAAACTGGTGTATAGAGGTGAAGATGGAGAACTGGCTCTGACCAAAGAGTTCCGGTGAGTCATATTCCCAAATAGGCATGGTAACTATTGCAAAAGCGTGTGCTCCAAATAACATCTAACTTTTTAAAAGCTGTATGTTACTAAAATACTGTTTGTACAGAATATTCTCAAATAGCCTGAATAGTTATCGACAATATTATGAGACAGTAAAGGAAACAGAAGTATTTGGAAATAGTTCTGCCTTTTAATCTTTTAGAGCCGCTTTATTGGATATATTTGAGACAATTGATTTGGATGGAAATGGCCTTCTGAGTTTGGAGGAATACAATTTCTTTGAACTGCGAACTAGTGGTGAGAAATGTGATGAGGAAGCATGGGCTGTATGTAAGGGTAAGTTAGTTGCTGTGCTTGATACAACTAATTAAGGCTATCAATCTACTTGCAAGCTGTTGTTTATAGCATCCTACTATATATATAGTATAGAAGAACTGAATATTTTGTAGCCTATACCAAGAACACATGTAGATATTGTTCTCTTCTTTGTTTTTCTTTTTTTCCTTCTCCAGTCTTCTGTCCTTTGTTTTGCTTCATTCTGGTTTGTATGCCACTGACGTTCTGATGAGAAAATTCCTCCCATTGCTAATTCCAAAGTTTTGTAGGTGAAAGATTTTATAGCTGCCAAAAACTACAGGTTTTGTAATCATGGATATGGTGAATCATGGATATGGTGAATGAAGCTGTAACAGGTATTCATTTAATCAATCTCCTTTCTGCAGATTAAGCTGATACTGCTTTCATATCTCACAAAGTGTTGAGAGGGACATTTAATTAGTGTGTATATGATGCTTTAAAAATGGCATCTAGAGCTTATGATGATTGTTTAGAAAATTAATTATTAAAAAATGAGACACTAGAAAATGCCTATTGCAACTATATATCTTCTTTGGATGTAAGCAGCTTTTAATTAAAAATCTCTTTTGAAGGTTCATACATGGTGCGTCAGTTTGTCCATATTCTGTTATGTGACAGCCATGAGATTCTGAGATTTCCATGAGTGAGACGAGGAAGCTGACAGACAGTTAAGACTCTTTCAGATGCACTTTGTTTTCGGTCTGCTGATACATCTCATCAATGTTACTAGACATCTTGCCAGCTTGCAGGAGCAGTGTTGGGCTACAAATGTCAATTTTGAAGAAAAAAGGAATTCTGTGGCATTGCTTTAAGGTTGCAAATGCCTTGACCATGCACATATTTACCTCATAACAGGGCTAGGAGAATACAACCACCAGTGACTGTAGGCTGCTCTAGTAATATAGTGCATGAAAGCAGCGGTTTCAAAGCATTGGCAGTTTAACTGCAGTGAGTGAACAAACTGGAAATTTAGAAGCCATTGGATGAAAATTAGAAGTTACTACAAGAAATATAGTTTTTCTGCAACTCATTTACGACATGCCAGTATGGCATATCATTATATATCAGCCCGTGTCATGTTTGATGTAATTCCTTTGTAGACTATGACACATTGCTTAATTTGGGCCAAAATACTTTAAATCTGGCAAGTCCTGCTAACTGTTTCTCCCTAAAACACTCTAAGATATTGGACTTTTTCCTAAATGATGGAAAGCTCATACAAAAATACTTTTCTATGTATGAGTTTCTTGTCCCTTTCATGCCTGTACATGCTGTTCCACACTTTATGACTTTGTCAGTGTTATCGTTCTGTGCACTGGTCTCAATATGAGTAGGAGGGGTGTATGTGTGTGTGAAGTGTATAAGAGAGGAAAGAAGAGAATATGGTGAATGTTTTACCAGGTCATTAATCAGTTGAAGGGTTCAAACGAATATCATAAATCTTGACACCAAAGTTCAAGCCATTTATTATAGCATCTGTACCCTTAGATAGATTTATTAAATTGGTAATCCCTTTTTAATAATATATAGTAAAGATTTAGCATTGTTATGAAGATGAGAAAACCATTTAAAAAAATCTCTGACACAAGGACATTTCAATTATGTGTTTGCTGACATGAGAGTGGTCGATCTATGATATTCTATCAAGAGAGGGGTGTTAGGATTACTGGCATTTTATTGCTTTTTAGGAACTAACTAAATCATTTCTATATCAAGGACCTCAAGCACTAAGGGTGCTGGCCCCAGCAGACTTTCATTTTCCATTCCTAATATACCCCATTTTGCAAATCTCAACCATAACAGATACTGCTAGAAAAAAGAAAAAAAAGAATCAATATGAACTCTTTCTGTTTTGAAATCTTGTTCTCTTTTGGGTTATACAAGGGGCCAGCTGTTTCTAGTCATTATCTAAAATCCACAGGGAAGCTCTGCAAAGAGCATATATGTGGCCAAGGACATTCTTTCCCAAATAACATTGGAGAGCCTGGGGCTGCAAGATGGCTCCATCTTGTAAACCTTGTTAACAAAAGTAGGAGTTTGGCTTTGGAAGGATAAGGGATGTTTGCAAAGAGAACAGCTGTTTAAGTGCTACCGTACATTTCTTCTTAAACAGAGAATTTTGATATGAAGAAGAACGAACTAACAAGACAAGGATTTATGGATTTGAATCTCATGGAAGCCAATGACCGTGAAGGGGATCCTAGTGACCTTTGGGTCACTTTATTGTCTCTGGGCTACAATAAAGCATTAGAAATGACAGAGGTATGATAGCCATATAGCAAAAATAACTGTTTCACATACAACTTGCTGAACATATTTAACTGCAGTACTGTTTCTGTCTGTCATAAATTGATTTCAGTAGGTCAGCGATGCAGTCCAAACGCTGTTAATACAGGGTTTACACTATGACTTTCAGTCATTATGGTATCCTGTTTCTTAGGATAACACTGACATTACTGGAAGAGGAAATCTGCCTTTTGCTTTAGAGAAAGCCAGTATTTTGTGGGGTTGTAGAGGAAGGAATCTTAGGTTACACCCGTTGAAAGAATTCATGTACCTTGCTGGTGGGAAGTGATAAGAAGATAGCGATGGTAAACTGTGACCTGTCAGCAAACGTACAAAATGCAGCACTTGCTCTGCTTAAAAAAGTCACTTTCCTGGCCCAAGCCGCAACAGAAGCAGATAATGAGAAAGTAACGTTTTTTCCACATGATTCAGAATTCATAATTTTCAGATACGGCTGTTTCTGTTACTGTTGCCTTTCACAACAGTATCTGAAGGTGTTCAATAAAAAATTTTAATGAAAGGGCTTCTGGTGGCACACCGTTTACTTTACAGGACCAGGGATTATTTCTCTAATGTTTCTGTGCTTATAGATTTATTTATTCATTTATTTATTTATTCATTCAGAAACAGTATCAGTGTTGGTGTTAATAGTTCTTACTAAAGAAAGAGGATATCTTTAATTAATAGAAAAGAAATTATAAAAATTAAAGAAAGCATTAAATATGCAGATAATTTAATCATTCAACTTTTCCAAGAAAAGCTGATTTTTTTTTTTTAATCATAATCTGATTATATTATGTCTTTAACTTTTGTTAAATTAAATTAGGTCAATGTAGTCACCATGTAAAAACATATGTGTGTGAAACAAATATATGCAGAACCAAAAATACTCAATATGGTAGAAAGACTTCAGTTGTCTCTCAGTGAAAATATTGAGATCATGGTGAATGATTTCTTAATGAGCAGCACTTTCTCCTTTTCCTGCGAATATGGTTAGCAGAGCAACTACAAAACTGTCTTTCTGCATTTCAGGCGTAAGAGGGAGCTATCCTCTAAGAAAGAAGATTTGGGGGAGGTTTTTATCAAGTTAGAAATTTCGAAAAGGTATTTTGTGCCTTATACTAGCTGTGGTTTATGGCTATAGTCTTTGCTTTCCAAAGGACAACATAGCTCTCTGAATTCTTTAGTCACTCATCTAAAATTGTTTATCTACTTAACTTGTGTCTATAACAGAACCCTTTAATTCCTTGATTTCAGATGATTTAAGAGATTGATATTTCAGGAGCATTGAGCCTAACAAATTAAAGACAGAACTGAGAAATCCTAGTGGATTCCAATAGTCATTTGAAAGAAACCGAGGTGCTATTACTAAGAAAATGCAAACTCCTGGTTGTTACATGTACTAATCTTAGCCAAGATACTGTAAGAGCAGACTGCTTAATGCAACGTTGCAGATATTTTAAATCTGTATGAAGTGGCACAAATAGGTAAGAGCGTGACAGGTAAAGGAGACGGGTTTATTTCAGCCACTGAAGTACATTCATACTTCATCTTAATTCCTATATGTTTTGCTATCCAAGGAAGGGTTTGCTATGTTGGAGCCAAATACACCAAACTGCCTATCGAGTGTGCTGTGACTGGCATGGAAAACGTTCATTTGTCCGGAGCTTTCATTCGGTTTAAAAGATTGCCACAGCTCTCAGGTTTTGAATACTTAATATTCAGTGGCATACTTGTAATTCTGCTTCACAGCATATATGAAAATACTTAGGAGCTGTGGATGAAGTCTGAGAGGAAAAACTACAGATAAAGTGATGATAAAACTCATTTTCTCCATTGCAGGCATGCCCCTTTGTCATTGACATCTATGCAGAAAAATGCAAACCCAGAATTAAAGCCATATATCTAGAGGCAGGGAGCTGGCAACTCAACAGGGCTATTTGCAAGTCTGTTGTTAATAAAGGAGAGGCCAAAGTAATGGACAGCTGTGAAAACATAATCATCTATACCTACAAAGCAGCCAGAAGAATCACTTCTGTTATTGAAAATAAGGTATGGCATGAGACTCCTGTAAGGTGCTTTGTTTTAGTGTCTATTGTTATTGTTCTTCCCTCCTAGCATCATTTTTTGAGAATTAAATTTTCTGATATTTCTGATATCAAGTTTCTATATTTAGTTCATTTAAAAAAAAAAAAAAGTGCCTGAAGCAAAGCTCTTTTTGATATATGACTCAGACTTCAAAAGAGTCTGTCTGGATCAGTGTTCTTGGAAGGGACAGCTTATTATAATGAGGCAAGCAGTTTTAAGTATCATATAGAATCTGAATATTTGTTTGTGTTCACATTCCAATTTTTCAATATTTTGATAATTATTGGAGAGATAATACATTCATAATACCAGAAAACAAATACTAAGAACAGGAAATACAATTACAGAAAGAGCAAAGACTACAGCATTTACACTGTTTAATATTTTCAGCGTGTGTAAGAAAGGAAAAGAGCAGTGATTTGCATTGATGGTGTTTTAGAAGCATATTATGGATGAATTGTTAACTGGCTAGCAGGTGTACTTTATTACTAATCCAAGTTAACAATTGTAAATGCAAGCAAAAGTGGTTGGTGAGAAGCTGAGATTTTAAATCTTTTTCATAGGTCTAATGAACGTGCTGTTCATTCTCAGTTTCATTTATATCAGGAACTGTGGGTAAATAAACACAGTGCAGCAAGATGCTAAACTTAAGATGCTTTAAATCTTGAAAGATCACAGCAAGAAGTATATTTTTAAATGGACAAACATGCAAAAGGGGGTGGGCTGGTGGACTAATATTAGGACTGATGCTCCTTGGAACTACAGGTTTAGATCTGCACTTCGCCCTTTAGGGTAGATATACTGGAGTTATTTATATGTTTGGGGATATGTCAGAGAAGGAGATGAGGTCTGTACTGAGGCAGCTGGATGCTGTCTGATTAAAATCACTGACCACTGCCATTTACAGCATTTAGGTTTCATAAATACCTCTGTTCTGCGTTGAAGCAAATAGTTGCACTTCCTTGAAAATCTCATTAGAATTTGCAGACTGGAGGCTTTTTTGTATTGTAAATGTCTGGAAAGAAATAGTAGAAAGGCAGTTTCATGCATCTGTCATCTTCTAAGCTTCCTGCAGTGCAAGCAGCTTGATTATATCTTCAGTTATTGTACTGATGATTTCAATGGAAATAATTGTTTCTTTGTTATTTCTGTAATTAAATTAAGGAAATATCCTAGTTCCTGAGGGATTCTGTTTTAGTCTTGCATATGTATTTAATCAGTGGGTGGAGGAAGGTGTCTGTCTTCTAACCCTCCCTAGTCAGGGTGTGAGCTGGGGAGATTAAAGGACATTGCATACAGAGCCTCAAATTTCTCAGGGAGTAAGCAGTAACAAGTTTATTGTCTGCCCGTTTATATGCCAAAATAAATAGTTAATGAGGCATTTCCTATCATCCAAAGCACAAACTTACTATGATATATCCTCTGTGCTAGGTGAATATCTGTGACCTTGTTCCCATTGCCATAAGTATCTTCCTGTAGAGATAATCCTTTTGTTTGCCTTTATCTCACTGCCATGTGGAAGTAAGGACTTCACCAAAGTGATGCCAGAACAGCTAGATCAAAGTAATAAGCAGCTTAACACTAGATTGTGTTTACATTTCTGCAACGGTACCATACTTCAGGAATTACCATATTTGCACTCTGCTGTCCACAAACCCTTTGTACTGCGAGCACCAGAGATAACTTTTTTGGTTGTGTTTTGGTTTTTTTATTGGTTTGGGTTTTTTTCGGTTTGTTTTTTTTTCCAGGTCAGTCCTTACCAGTCTAATAGTAGCTTCTTTGCTGCGTAAGGCTGATCGTGTAAAGTAACTGTGTTTCTATTCCATTTCTCACTACAGAGAGATTGTTGGATAGCATTGTCTAAATCAAACATTTCCCAGCGTGTCTGTCAAATTTAGATTTATCTGGAGACAACTGAATAGTGGGGTATAGTAGCATGTCCTTAGGTCTTGTGTCTGAGTATTGCCTGGGATAAACTGGTGGTTAAAGAATTTTGCTACCCTAGCTTTCAGTTTTATATATTAGATCCTTCTTGCATAGCATTAGCAAGAGCATCTGCTCTTCAAGTAATTATATGAATTTTGTCAAATATTTTTTAAAATCTCTATTAATGAAGTCTTCAGAAATGGCCTGTAAGGAATGTTGCCAACAAAAATTGAGCAAGCATGCAGTGACACTTCTCCAGATCACTGTCCTGCCTCTAGTGATTTGCAGTTCAAGGACTACTTGAGACAGAAATGTTTTCTTTGTACTTAAAATCTACTGTGAATTTGTCCAGTCACCTTTTGAAACTATGTAAACTGTTAGAATCTGTAACATTCTCTGGCAAATAGTTTTCTCGCTAAATGGTGTTCCCAAGTTGCGTCGTAAGTGCTTAAGTTATTTCAGTGAGTCTTAAATTTGACTTTTGACAATGGATCTGGGCTCTGATGATGCTAAGGTACATTTGAAACTGTTACTCTTCAAAGAGAATAGACATCAGCATCCTTAAAGCGTTTCTATCCTATAAAATAGCAAAGTCAGAGGAAGTAAGAGGAATGTGTAGTTGTTACATAAAGAGCAGTCACTTAACCATTAAGACTAATGGGTTCCTTCACATTTTTTCACTTGCAGTCTGAAAACAAAGTGATTATTCATGTCAACAATGAGCAGAGTAAGAACTGCCTAAGTAATAGGGGACTTACTGTTTTTGCTGTGGAAGTGGCACCAAAATCCATGATGGTAAGATTTTTATTGTTTAGCCAACTTAAAATCTAAGCAAAAAGAAAAAATCATGTGACATCTTTACAGTTTCCTTCTGCAGGTCTTTTATTATGATAATGAGCATGTGGATAGTGGCATCTTCATCACCAGTACAGATCAGATACAGTTCCTGATATTTCAAAGCTGAACTTGTACTTGATGTATCCATGTTTCCCCATGCAGATTGCTATAAAAGCCCATTGCTGTTCAGTTCTTCATATGTGTGCCTGTTTGTCCATTCAATACATGTATCATTTACTAATATTTTTTAATATTTTTTTCTAAGGCTGTATGTTCTTTTTTTTTACTTAGCAAATTTTAATTACATATATAGATGTCTGTGAGGAACAGATCAAGCAGAGACAAATACATATATATATATATATATATATATATATGTTTGTATTGCACTCCTTACACACAGTGTGATTTGCAGATGGCTAATTTTTTTTTAAACTTCACTTATGGATCATGTTTAGCCACAAGGCAATTTCATCTGCTGATTCTATTCCAGAGCTGGGCAGGCTTTAGTGAAAATTCTAAATGAGGGTTCTAAGGGATAGAATGAGATTGAAAATGCATTACAAATGCCGATGATATTTTCCTCCATTCATTTATGAAGCAAATCCAGGTTTTATTACTCTAAAAGTATGGTCTCTTCCTTTAAAAGAAGAGGCATGCAAACTATTTTATATTTCACAGCTTTCCAGTGTGGATGCAGTCAAACCCATTGTAAATGGATACAGTTCCATGACACTGGTAGGGTTGGGGCCTATTCTAATATTGCTGCTGACACTTATATCTATAGCCTGATCCTGTAAGGTGGTTTATTAATCTTAATTTTGGCTTCATTCAGTATAAATTGTAGGCTCAGCGTCCCTTATGGATTTTTTGCTGTCGTGCAATTAAATTAAATAGTAAGTTTTGAATACCAGCTGTCATTATAGATGCTGAATGTTTATCATTTAATGTTAGTGATATAAGTGCTTACATAGCACTTCAGGTAGCATACACGCAGTTCTCCAGTAAACAACTATTTCACCTGTTTTCTCTGTTCTGTACAGGTTTCTCAGCATGTGATGCCACTGAACGAGCAGGAAGAATGGCTTTATAATTGTGTGCATTCCCTCTTACGTTAAATGTTCTGTTTAGAGGGCTGTTTCTTGGTAGCATTCAGACTAAACCAGGAATTTTTTTTGGCAGCTTCTAGACAATTTCTAGTCTTGTCCTTCTCAAAAAGCTGGCATACATTTATACTTCACAGAGTTTGATTTGTTAAAGCCAATGAATCACATAAGTACTTACTTATTTCTGGTATCACACTTCTGCTAATGGCTTTTAAGAAACATGTATAGTGATAGCTTAAGGATGGAATAACGGTAAGTATGTAAAATCCTTTGACAGAGTAGAGTATTCATCATATACTGTCTAACGAAATACATTGGCATGAAAACATTGAGACGCAATAAAAATTAGTGCTGTTCAGTAATATAGCTGACTGTTGTAATATAATTGTGTTTTATAAAGGCTAGTTTCCCTAAACGTGCTCTTATTTTCTGTAACATGTTACGGAGTTCCATCACATGCTGGAACTGTTTCACTGAGGAGAAACTTGCTTTGTTAAATTGGTCTGATGGGTTTCTAATGAAATACTCTTGTGGTTTTGACATGAGGAGTATCAAGGGGTGGGGTTTATGATTTTGTTTTGCCACCTGATAAAGGATTTGGTTCTTTCACTTTTTTTTTTTAATTTTATTTGCTTTTTTTGGCATTTGATGATAATACTCATCTTACACTTGATCTGAATAATTACTGTTTTTATATGCTTTTGTATAAAATAAAATCTGCCTTTTCATATGCGATAAGGAAATAACATTATTTGAGGAAAATGAAGGTTTTGTTTTAGGCTCTTGACTGTTAACGGCAATTAATTATTTCCAGGGCAGCTGAAATAAGGAGACTGAAGTCCACCAAGTTTAAGCTGCAATAGCAATGAAAAACAACTTCGAGATACTAAAAATATTCAGCCTATTATGTTTTTCTAGTTCGTATAAATGTCTGTTAATGTGGAAAAAAAATGATGACCCTGGTCACTGGATGCTTGAAAAGTGTCTGAGTTTAAAATAGACATTAAATGTATGTGACCTCATCTGCCAGCAACTCCTGCGCTCTGCTGTCATTCTGCTGTAATCGTACACTGGGCAAGTAAATGTCAGTTACAAAATGAGAGCTCTGCTAGCGGCCGGCTGTGATTTACGCACCTCAGCAATTGGTCCTCAGGCAGGTTTACTGGTGATCTCTTTAGTTTTCCATTTTTTTTCTTAACAGGTACAGCCGGGATAATTTTAATTTTCAGAAATATCTAGAAGTTGAAATTGTAGTAAGAGGCCCCACAAATATTTGGTAATGTCTAGCAAACAACTGAGCTCTGTAAACGCTGCCTCAGGCAAGGTGTGGATACATCAGACTTTCCTAGCTACGTCTCTAAGAAGGAGCTGGGAAATAATGAGACGCTCTATGTGTACAGCAGGCAGTACAAAGCGAGCACTCCATTATTTGCATTTCTTTTGTTTATAAAACCAGTCTTGTAAGATGTGGCAGGAATCCATATGGTACTCCTCCTGCATTTTAGGAAAGGAACGGTTAAAACTGGAAGTAGTCCTTAGCTGAGAAATCATTGCACTTGAAAAGACTTGGGTTTGTTGCAGGTAGGGTCTAGTTTAACATGACACAGCAATACAGAGCGGAACCTTTTTTTTCTCATCCTCTTGCTGTAATTTGAATTTCTGGGATGTTATCTTTCTTTTGAGGATTAGAGCTACACTAACAAAATGCAGCTTCTGCGTGGCTTTGCTAGTGCTGGCCTTCCCAGGCCGCCCTTCTGGGGACATCGGGTGGGTCTCCTGCTTGTGCCGGGTGGTCACTGCGGCCCGGGCTGCCAGCGTCGGGCTGTACGTGCCTGCGGTGACACCCTGCTGGTGGCCGTAGGGACGCGGGGCCCGGCCCCTGGGAAGCGCCAGGCCGTGGCGGTGCTCGGTGCTGTGCAAACCGCACCAGGACAGAGCACCTCCCTCGTCCTCTCCCCGCACGGCCCTTGGCAGCGCAGCGTCCCCGTCCTCCGACAGCTCCCGGCGCCGAGATCCGCGGCGCGGCG